GGGCTCTGGTCTGGTACAGGTAATTTGGGGGGGCTCTGGTCCAGTAATTGGGGGCTCTGGTCTGCTAATGGGGGGCCAATTCCAGAAGCCCTCATGCTGTGTAGCCCCCCGAGCTTGCTGTGGGGTCCCTACCTTGTGGAGGCGCACACGGAGTCTCGGACAGACCCTCGGGAAGGCTCGGGTCCCCCGGCAGGGATGCTGCTTCCTCCACCTCAGACATGAAGCGACTTCTACAGCTCGGAGCGGCTCGGCACACTCCGGAGATGGGCGTGGCTTCGCAGCCAGCAGAATGACAGTTGGCCACTCACGAACCCGGATTGCGCGAGTGGGCGTGGCCGAGGTGAGTCAGCATCTGATTGGTCGATCGCACTACTTCCTGCTTCCTTGGGACGCCTGGCGGAACTGCTTCCTGTTGCTATGGAGAGGAGACGGAAGTGTCGGTTGCTATGGATAAGCGTGCCGTGGAGATGGAGCCGGAATGTGTGAGGTGGAGTGTACGGGAGGTCGGTGGCTGGATCCGGCTCAAAGGCTTCCCCCAGTATGAGGTGATCATCGGGGGGCTCCGGGTTCCTTATTAAACCACATACCTACCAAGCGTCCCGATTCAGGAGGGGCAGTCCCTATATTGGACCAATATATCCGAGTGTATCACAGGGCTCCACAGCAATAATACTCCCAGTAACAGAGCTCCACAGCAATAATACTCCCAGTAACAGAGCTCCACAGCAATAATACTCCCAGTAACAGAGCTCCACAGCAATAATACTCCCAGTAATGTGTCTGAGTGTATAACAGAGCTCCACAGCAATAATACTCCCAGTAATGTGTCTGAGTGTGTAACAGAGCTCCACAGCAATAATACTCCCAGTAATGTGTCTGAGTGTATAACAGAGCTCCACAGCAATAATACTCCCAGTAATGTGTCTGAGTGTATAACAGAGCCCCACAGCAATAATACTCCCAGTAATGTGTCTGAGTGTATAACAGAGCTCCACAGCTGTAATACTCCCAGTAATGTGTCTGAGTGTATAACAGAGCTCCACAGCAATAATACTCCCAGTAATGTGTCTGAGTGTATAACAGAGCTCCACAGCAATAATACTCCCAGTAATGTGTCTGTGTGTATAACAGAGCTCCACAGCAATAATACTCCCAGTAATGTGTCTGAGTGTATATCAGAGCTCCACAGCAATAATACTCCCAGTAATGTGTCTGAGTGTATAACAGAGCTCCACAGCAATAATACTCCCAGTAATGTGTCTGAGTGTATAACAGAGCTCCACAGCAATAATACTCCCAGTAATGTGTCTGAGTGTATAACAGAGCTCCACAGTATACTCCCAGTAATGTGTCTGAGTGTATAACAGAGCTCCACAGCAATAATACTCCCAGTAATGTGTCTGAGTGTATAACAGAGCTCCACAGCAATAATACTCCCAGTAATGTGTCTGAGTGTGTAACAGAGCTCCACAGCAATAATACTCCCAGTAATGTGTCTGAGCGTATAACAGAGCTCCACAGCAATAATACTCCCAGTAATGTGTCAGAGTGTATAACAGAGCTCCACAGCAATAATACTCCCAGTAATGTGTCTGAGTGTATAACAGCTCCACAGCAATAATACTCCCAGTAATGTGTCTGAGTGTATAACAGAGCTCCACAGCAATAATACTCCCAGTAATGTGTCTGAGTGTATAACGGGGCACCACAGCAATAATACTCCCAGTAATGTGTCTGAGTGTATAACAGGGCACCACAGCAATAATACTCCCCGTAATGTGTCTTTAAACCACATCGTTCTGGTTCTAAATCACATTTTATCAGTAAGTCACATCCTTAAAATTTAAGTGTCCCTTTGAAATGTTGGGAGAATTACTATACGACTATGGGGTTACTTAAGGTTACAAGCTCTGCCATGTTTTGCTGGACGTATATATCTTATAAAGAGTTATAGACTAAAGTGTAACTTGTGGAGAATGCAAAGTTAATATAAAATTTTACTCCGAAATAGCAGAAAGCTCCCAAAATTCATTTTATTTGGATTCAGGTTTGTTGCGTCAAGCAACATGCCAGTTCTAATTTTCTAATTATGCTACACTTCTTCTAACAGTCTCCGACTTGGCGAGATCATTGATCACTATAAGCATTGATAGACAAGATGACAGGTGTTGGAATAATTTGCTGGATTTTTAATTGTTTTCTATCTTGGGCTTTGATATACATGCACAGTGTTCAGAGAAAGATGTGGGGAAAAAATCATCCAGTGACATGGCATGTTATCTTGCTGGAAATAACCATTAGAGCAGGGGTAGAGCCCAAGGTGATGTAGAACTACAACTCTCATGATTCTTTGCATGTCTTTAGAATGCATTTAGATTAGAATGACAAAGCATCATGGAAGCTTTAGTTTTAAAACGTCTGGGGATCTACCTTTTGGGCACCCCTGCATTAGAGGGTGGGTAGATTCTGGCCAAGGGATGGACTTCATCAGAAACAATACTCAGGTATGCATTCAAATAATGCTTCATTGGAATTGATGGATTTAAAGGCATAATATAGTGCCAGGAATACAACACTGTATTCTTGGCACTATAGCTCCCTCTGTCAACCCCCTCCACTGCTTAAAACCCATTTATATAGTTACTAGATCCCAGCGCCGATGTCCCCATGCAAAGATGACAGAGAAGAAAAGACCCTAAATGACTTTGGCTGCTGGGGGTTTAACATGGTTCAAACTCACTGTAAAATAAGGAAAACACAGCTTTCCATGGACACCTTTAGTCCAATTGGTTAGACAATGTGTCAACTCTTCAAGGCTCAACCCTTTCAACCTAGTCAAAATTGTCTTCTGGTATCAGAGATACAGATGTTGCATTGAAGCTGATAATTATGCTGGGGATGTGCCTTTTGCCAAGTACATATAAAACCTTTGCTAGTGGTTTTCTTTGTATATTTATATAACAATCCATATTATTTTTGGTTTTTTAAAAGGTGTAATTTTTAGAATTAAACACAAAGCCTGGACATCTTGGTTTTGGGTACAATCCATGTGTTTGTTACATACTGGCGTGTTTTATACAGACCATAACTGATCATATATCTGCTCTAAGTCTGGTTTATTTCACAGGCCTGCTTCACAGAAAATTGCATCAATGGCCGGAAGCTTATCCATGTAACCTGCTCCAGCCTTCCTCAGATGGGCGTTATTGATTTCCAGGACATGAAGGTGTGTATAAACTCATTTTGTAACCTAATTAGTATTCGACTTAGTTTCAGGTCACTATTGTAGCATTACTCACCTTATCCAGGGGCCGGCCGCGGTCCTCTCTTCAAGCCGCGCGCGGTCCTGCTGCTGCACGAGCCGCGCGCAGCTCATCCGACAGCTCCACTAGCAAGGCGGGCAGTGACCGCGAGAAGCGGTCACGTGTCCCGCCTGAATCTAAGAGCGCGCCGCGAGTCTCGGGCGCGCTCTTAAAGAGACAGTGGGAGCCTAAATTGTCAAAAGGCTCCCATTGGCCCCTGTCATACCACACTCCCCATACACTTACCTTTTGGGGGTGTGGATATGACAGGAGCCAATCACATTAGTTTTGAAGCTATTTAAACTTACCTCTCCCTTTACTCCCTGCCCTATCGTGGTTTCTGTATCAGTTCCCTTTAGCGCTTGTTGTGTTCAGTTGTGTTTCTCCGTATTGACTTTGGCTTTGTTTCTGACTACGTTTTCTCTTAATCCTTATCTGTTCTGGTTGTCGGCTTGCTGTTTACTGTGTACCAGACCCCGGCTTGTCCTAGTTTACGCTGTCTCTCTGTGCCCTTGATTTCGGATCGTTCCTGACTCTGTCTCCTCTCATATACGTCGAGTCCGGCCATTCTAAGGTCCGGTAGACGTATCTCTCCTCTGTGTTGTCTTCTGTTTAGCTGAAATCTGCGTGTTGGGGTATATTCTCGTTACAACTATTTAGTCAATAACCTCTCTTCTGTGTGCACTTCTAAGCCAATAATATATTATTATTATATTATTTATATTGCGCTCACACTGATACCAAACTGTATTTTTCTGCAATGTTCCAATTAAATAATTTCTTAGATCTTAGAAAGGGTTTTAATAGAATTTATTAATAAGTGAAGTTTCTGATAGTATAAATAGTTAATGTGTATAAGTATAACGGTAAATACTGTTTATTTGACCATTGCTTTTTAAGTGACTTTGCTTTTATTTGTTTAATCTGTGCACATTGTCTTTGACTCTGAGCTTTTAATTAAATGCATATATATTAAAGGTAATTTGTCACGTACAGTAGGTTTATTGACTAAATTCCAAATTGCTCAGATTGGACTCAACATTGAAGATAAGGCACTAAACCAGGAAAAGTGCAGGAGGAATTGCAAACTTTGAAGGGACACTATAGGCACCCAGACCACTTCAGCTCATTGAAGTGGTCTGGGTGCATACTGCTGGGTCCCTTAACCCTGGACAGGTTTTTAATAAACTGCAATATTACCTTTGTGGGTTTACTCTGTTTTAATGGCTGTCTACCAACGTTAATCGCCAAACTGACGCTGGATGTCCTCACGCTATGCATGAGTACATCAAAAGTCACCCAAAACCCCATAGGGAAGCATTGTATAATGCTTTCCCATGGGGTTGTTCTAATGTGAGCCTGGCCATTGCTGTGCATGCGCATTAGGTCTGCCCTGTCGGCGGGGGAGGAGTAAAGGCGGATGCTGAGCCAGCACCGAGGGACATTCACTAAAAAGAAACTTAAGTGAATTGAAAACTGAATTGCAAAAATTAAGCTTAAAAGCAAAACTGTGACTAGACCTGTGCTGGAGATTTTCTTATATCCACTATTTTAGCATGCAGTTTGAAATTCAGTTTAAAAGTCACTACAATTTGCTGTGTACTGAAAAGACCACTTACTGTTTACAGATTATCTACTTATCTGCCCTGGGAAGGTGGACTATTCTCTTTATGTGACAGGATCACTGATCTCTCTCCGTTGCATTGCATTAGATAATATAATTATAAAGTTAGTAAAGATCAGGTTATGAGGAAGTGTGATCATTCAAAAATCCTGTACTAATTATTACTTCCATGATCTCTTCAGGCAATCTCCAAGCTGATTAGAGACCTGCTTGCCGTCAGTGAACCTGCATGGACTCGAAGCATCTCATTGCCCCGCAGAGACAACATGGGACTGTTCCTGGAGCAAAAGTCCAAGACGGGATTGACTTATGATTCATTGACTTATAAGCAATTCATCATCCAACAAGGACTAGAATCCTACTAAGCAATACATGGGGATTACAGTGACGTTCAAGCTAATCAGAACATTTTTTGTTTATATTTGTGATGATTGAAGCTTGCATTTTCTTTACACACCTTTTATTTATATATACAATCTTCCAGTCACTGGGTTAGCTATAGCCCTCCATTACTATTGTCCAGACTTCAATATACGTTGTAGTTTTAAATGAATTGGGTACATCCTTTATGTGCTCTTCTTCACAATTCTTTTACTCATTTGGTAGGTTTAATGAAATGTGGAACACTCACAGTGGAGAGGTTGGTAATGTTATTCAGTAAAGACACAATTGTCTTGTGATTAAAATAGCCTAATTGTGTTTTTAGTTTGCCTGTTTTGGCCTTAGCTAGCTGTTTTTTCAATCAAACCAAATAGAGAAATTAAACCAATTGCTCCGGGACTGTGTTATAAGATTAAATTAACAGAAGTAAATTTGTGTTCATGCATACTGTTCTTATAGATTGCGCTAAATGGAACAAATGAGAGTTAATATTTACAGAAAGGACAAAAGAGTCTCTGAAAATACAAGGTGGACCTTGGGTAGGTATTCTTTGGTTCTTGATTGAGTCCTCAGTAGTTAATATGAAAAACAAAAGCAAAAACAAAGAGGGACCAATAGTGCAAAAACCATTAGGCGATGGTGTCACAGACCACACAGAGATAGAGAAATGCCAACTCACAATAAATAGAGCTATGCCCAGCTCTAGGTAAAACGGCATACAGTGGTATTTGAAACTCTTGTCCTTTCTGTAAATATTATCTCTCATTTCTTCCATTTAACGCACCCTGTATTTTTGCTGTTTCCTGTTCTCCCAGATTTATTGAAGGGTTTGAGGGTTGCAGCTCCATCCACCCCTGTGATTAGTACTGTAGCGCTGTTCCACCCCAATAATTTTTTTCTGTTCTTATAGATTGCCTCCACCACATTCCAAATATTTTGCTGGGAGAGGAGATTTTTAAACTCTGGCAATATGTTGTTGTGCTGTCAATATGATGTTTATAATACGTTTTATTGTAGGGCTTTAGAAGGTCTTCACTTAAAGATAATAAGTAAGTTAGAGGGTTAAAGGGTATATTCACTTCGACAGCTGTCTGTACTATTAAGTGTATTGAGGTCCAGAAAGACTAAGTTTATTGGCAAGAACACCAAACGTAGTGCTCGGTACCCACATGGTTTCTGCGTGTCCAACAAGTGTTTGGGTGAAAGGAAATAACCCGTGTAGGCAACTAGGTAGAATTTTCCTATGCTGTTCAAAATGTGCAGTTGAGCAGGTCAGGTCTTTATGGACATTTAAAATTGCATTTAATTGAACTCTGTATCTCAGCTTCTCACTCTTTAGCTATTTTAGATTAAGAAAAGTTTACAGGTTTAGATAAGAGTTGATGACACATGGAGATTGGTTTACATCTTTTTTTTCAATAGCGCCTGCTAAAGATAATTGTTCCCATGGAGTCCTGATTGTAACACTGTGGCTTGAGGATCAGCGTATATAGAGGATATATATTTAAAATGAAGAAGGGAATCCAAATTTATCAAGCAAGAACCCCAGGAAGTTATAGATCAGGTGGCCAAATACCTTTTCAACATCCAACGCCAGCAAGAGACCCCCTGAACCAGAGCTCCGGAGGCGGGGGAGCTTGTTAACATGAGCTACACCTGGGCGGCCTTGGACACACCCAGTGTGATCATTTTGAAATAACCTGGGTAAAAGGGAGCAAATTAGTTTTTTTGCATTAGTATTAAACAATAGTAATTGCCCAGATATTTTTACATAAAACAGATTTATCTGGTTTGTGTAAAGTAGCTGTTGTTGCTAACAACATATCGGTAGGAAGCTAATTCTATTTGCCAAAATGTTTGTATTGGTATTAAGAAGCGATATTGGTAGAGAATGTTTACATAAAATAGGAGATTTATCCGGTTTGTGTAACGTAAGTGTTGTTACTAACAGCATATCAGTAGGAGTCAAAGTTCCTGTAAACTGAGCTTTCTGAAACACAGCAATATGGGGCCAAAATAGTGGTGTATTTTTCCATAGTAATTGTTGGATTATCCATCAGGGCCCGTGGGTAAGTACGATAAGTATAAACACTATTAACAGAAAACTCTTTTTTTTGTCTTTATTCCTGTTGTGATTTTTTTTGTGTAGGTATTCATAACATGGACAGTATTTCTACACTGGCGAGTATATAAAAGTAAGGTACAGGTTAAACCATATGAGCAGGGGTAATTCCAAAAATCAAACCCCTGAACGACTATGGTACCCTTCTATACATAGAATATTGTTATAATTTAGTAAGGATGTAGCCCATCAACAGAATTTGTATCCATAAATAAGGCAAATTCTGTAATATATGGCACACTACAGTATAGAACTATAGCAGACACAATGGGAACAATGGATTAGAATAACGTAAAATTTGTGGTGCAGGTAAGTATGCAAGTTTGAGATACATGACTTCGGAAGCCAGAGTCCACTCCAGTGACATCTGTGGCAGTTTATTTCCTTTTGGTTCCTGCATGTGTCTGGGCATGCAATTCTCCAGCTACAAAGCAGGAAGAATCCACCCTCTAGGGACATATTTAGATGGATCAGGAGTTCAGTTGGAAATCCCCAGCGATATCGAAAGAAGTTGTTCGTAAGAATGTTGTCAGTATTTCTCATGGAATATCGTGTCTCTGCATTCATGATGTGCCCTTTGACATAATAAAACTGGGTTCTCGCATTCACATCTCGTGGAGATGAAGTATGCAGATGTTTATGTCTTTGAAACCTTTGGTCTTTGTCCACAACTAGCATGCCTATATGGACATCAGCAATGATTTCATGAATAAACTTTAATAAGTAGTTGGACAGTTCGGTACTAGTGGCAGCCTTAGGATCCCCCTAAAAGTTCTCCTTGACCTGTTTTCTAAGTTGGAAAGCGTCAATTTGTAAGACTTCAATGTATTCTCAAAATCTTGCAGCTGCACCTGTTAAACTGTTATAAGCATCAGCAAATTCCTCCATTTTATGTTCTACATGGCCAGTACGCTGGCCTAATTCAGAGATTTTGATTTTTCAGTTTACATGTCAGGGTGTTGAATTGTGCAGACATTATAGCTGTCAAGTGAGCAGAGAAATTGACTAACAGTTTTTAAGTTCTGATACTGTGGCCAGCTAGTCTTCTGGTAATGTAGCTACAGACTCCAGGAGAGACGGAGAACCTAACCATGTCACCATCTTGGGCCTGCTCCGCGCTATGCACTAAGCACTCTGTAGGTTCAATCTTCTCCATGGGAAGTTACAGCCAAATTATTTGCGTTTGTTACTTGTTCAAAAGTCCCAAAAGAATCCAAGTACAGTACTGCAAGCCTTTCCAGAAGCCACGGAGTGCAATTGAGATGCTGACTGAATGGTGTGTCCTTCATCTGCACACAGTGTAGGTCAAACCAAGGATACGGGCTGCAAAAAGCACATAAATATTATACACAGAGTGACGCACAGAGCAGGTACATATAGAACAGAGGGGACAGCATAGGAGACACTAAACATGCAACACACAGAGAGACCGGATGTGCAAATAAACATAACATGTGAAAGGACCACAGAGGATTAAATAAACATAAAACAAGCAAAAGGGGAGATCAAAGCAGCAAACAAGTATAACACATAAAGGGGCTGCCCATGATCAAATAAACATAACACACAGAAGGAGACAGGAACAAAGAAACATGTAACACAGATGGGCTGCACAGGATCAGTTAAACATACAACATGCAAAGGGGTATGTTTGTGGTCATATAAACATGTAAGACACAATATAGACTGCATAGGAGGATTAAATGTTATTCTCACCTGTTCTCTGATAGTGTGATAGCATACTCCCGGCTTACAAAGTCTTCTGTCCTAAGTGGAGAACGATGGGAAGTCTCAGCCCTCATCCTAGTGCTGTAAATCATGGCATTTAAGGCACTCAGTGACTGTTTATGAGACAGCCCTTGTTCTGTGCACATGTTCAGAGCTGCGTAAATAGTTGTCTCTATAAACCGACTCACTATACGGACAATGCCTGTTAGAAGAGGAATAATATTCTAAACACCTGGTAAATAGTAAAATCCAAGACAAGCAGATTTAAATGCACATTATTAATACAGCCTGACACAGTGTTGGGTTTGGATCTAATGAAGGAGGATCCAACGGCACACTATCAGGACAGGCTCAGATATTGCATTCTGGGAGAATTGTATACACATGATTTCAGAGATAAATGGACTACATGCAACTGGATGGAGTACATCCTATATGTTGTAACTCATGGTGGGCTCTCTCCATCTGGAAGAAAATCCATTTGTCAGGTAAGACACCAATTCTTTGTTCCTTGGCTATATGCTCACAAATTAATTGTTACCACTGGACCAGAATCGGACCATACTTGTAAATCGCAAAATGGCACATTCAATGGTGGATCCTTGGTCAACTATGGTCATAACCTATGCTTTGGTATAAAATGCTCTGGTTTATAGATTCTGGTGGGCATTCTCTCGAATGACCATCAAAGTAACTAAATACCTCCATTTGTTTAAAAATACATAGGGATTTGGGAAAGAGCGCAGATAACTTTTTTCCTTTGGTTTTTATTGTATGTATTGGGGCTGATGTGTACTATGGTCGTAGTGGGAGTTTGAGTGCGACTTGTTTTTTTGTATTTGTATCCACTTTTGTATCACACAGCTATGTTACAATGCTGCCGCCCATTCTGTGTGTTCCCTATTAACGGTTAATAAGTATGTAGGGGTGTATATAAAAAATACCCCTCTATGTCTCATTACAGATATCTTTGCCAGCAAGCTCAAGGAAGCAAGGTGAATGGTTAGTGTAGGACCCTTGACGTGGCAGGTGGGGGTTTACCTCTAATGGCCATTGGAGTAACTAAATAACCTCCGTTTATTTAAATATACATAGTAATTTGGGAAAGAGCAGTTTATGCTGGTATCTATGCCTGTTTGCATATCCAACACAGCATTCTAGGACAATTGAGGAAACATGACTTTTTAAAACTGCTGATCTAATCTGTATGAATATGAATGTTTGGACATGGTGTCCAAATCCTTAACAGAAAATGTTCTATGTAAGTTCCTGGAATAAATCACTACATACCACCTTGAGGATTTCCAAAGCTTGTTGATCTCACAATACTGGCATTTCTTAGAGCAGCTGTGATAGTCCAGTTTTTATCCCATTCCTGACTGGTCTCTGTCCATACAACTCGGTATTCTGGTCTGATAACGCCTCTGCTGCCCAATAGTTGGTTTAACCTGAAAAAGGAAAGATGACACAAGTACATCTAAAAATCAAACATTGGACTTTGCACAACTGTTATGATCTGATATTATGACAGTGATTGTACTAGAATTAAGCGTGGTACCCTCAACCTTGCAAGTGTCCGAGTATGTGAAATCAGATATCTGATTATTACCAACATTATATCACCTATATTCAGTTTGCCATGTCATATTTATGATATCTTCCCCAATCATTAGTCACTATGTTTTAGGTTCCCACCATTGTAATTAAGGAATATTGATCAAACCAAACTCTGTTTGCTGTTGGTTATACCTGGATAAAGGTACAGCTGATACCAGGCTATACACAATGCAAGCTTCTCCCACGTGGTTTCTGATCTCCATACACACATTGGGTAGCTGCGATGGCAAGCAGCATACAAAGATAATGTGGGCCCAGGTGGAAAGACCAACGTTGTCATAAAAACAGAGCACTCCTAGCTCCTGGAAGTCACCTGGGAGACAAATTATATGCTGTATGTTTCAGAAGTATCAATATAACCATCTGCCGAGCCAAAATGTCATAATGGCTTTGTAACTCAAAAATCTGAGCCAGCACGCATAAAGTCTTATAGCTCAAGAACCTGTGTCAGCAAGGAATAAAAGCTCTGTATCTTTCTAGTAGGGTATCAGTTGACAAAAGGGGGAATGTCATTGACCTAGTGGGGTGGATCTCAATTTAAGGGCTTTTTATACTAACATGACTGCATACACAACAATACTCTTGGAGGAATCAGTTACCCTCCCACATCGATCATACGACTGCTCACTACGTTTTTGGATAGATCTTTAGACTCTCCCTATCACCTTCTTTTTGTACTTTTCTATGTATTGATAATGCCAAACTGATGCTTCTCAAACATGCCCCTGACACGGACATTAATCTGTAATATAAGCCAAGACATATACAGTAACCAGAAATAGGGGTCTCAGATCCAGGATACATGCTCACTGTATACTGACTATTGTTTGACGTTTGAAATTATCCATTCTTAATTTCGGTCTACATTTATAACTGATGTATCTATTTGTCAAAATATTAATTGCAGTTCTGCACTGTTCATTGCCAATTTAAAATGAAAAATAAAGAATCTTAAAAACACCTCTGTATTAAAAGTATGACGGCTCTGTACTATAAGCAGATTTGCCAGCCCAGCATAAAGATGTTGTACCACTACATCTGCTAATGTCTAATAATAGATCAAATTAGTGTAATAGAGCAAAATAACAGTTTTTTACTTCTTGTAAAAATATTTTTGCCTATGACATTGTGAATTATAACAGCTATTGGTATTGGTATTTAATCCTTTGAATGTTTTCTTTTGTCTGCCAGTAGCAGTACAGTTTATTTTGAGATTCTGGGTTTAAATTCAGTAAGGATCGTGTGATGTACTTACGCAAGGTTTCTGGTCTGCGCGTGGATATGCGAATATCTTCTGCTTGCAAGCCACTCAGGTCAATCAGACAGCGAGCAAGTTGCTTCCCCAGCTGACCTGCGCCAATAATGCCAACATGGAGACACTTACTGTGAGATGCCCGTTTGATTGTGGGAGCAAAACTCTGGGTTGACTCTGCTTTCTCGGTCTGTCTAGAGAAAAGCAAATACAATGTTAGGTACTTACTAAATAATAATAAAAATGTTAATTTAAACCTTTTTAAGGGAATATATTCTTATTTTTATATAATTGCAATTCAGCAACGTATATCTCAAACATTCAAGTCTCTATGAGTTAATTCTCTGAACAGGGGATTATGGATAATTAGCAAGGGAATGACACTT